AATATATATGAATATATATATGATTTTTTTTTTCCAAAATACCCCCAAATTTATGAACTTCTGGATTAGTAAATATAACTTGTGAAAGCAGCTGGCTCTACCTAAATGCTTCACTTGCTTCTTGTGCCTTACTCCTAACTGAGATCAGCTCTAAGACTTAGTGACTTTTCATATAAAACAGCTAACTATTTAATTTAAAAGTGCTTATTACCTCCTCGGCATCCAGGTACCTAGAAGGATCAAGAAAAACTATTATTAAAATTACAAACTGGAAAGATGATGTTCATAAAAAAAAATCCCATGTGGAAGGGAATGGATCACCTAACCCCCAACAGCCTGCTGAGTCTTTCTATCATGAAATTAAGCAGACTCTGAGGACAGTTTTACAAAGCATTAAGTAGCTTAGAAATGTATTAATGTGAACTAGGTCTGGAGCTTCAGAATCTAATGCCCAAATGAAAATTAGCGTTTAAATAAGAAATAGGCACCCAAATTCCTTTGGAGATCTGAGTGTTAAGAAATGACATTTATTGGGTCTCAGGGAAATTCTGGCTCATAAGACTTGTTTTAAAAGGAACTTGAAAAGAAAAGCAAAAAAAAAAACCAATCAAAAAAACCCAACCCTTGGAAAACTTGGTGTTTGATTTTTTTTTTAATGCTACACCCTACACGTACCATCAGAGTTCTCTCACTTCACCATGAGGTTTAGTTTTGTTTTCATGTTAAAGCTTCTATAGCTATTCTTAAAAAATAAAATTAAGTATATATATATCTCTCTCTCCACAGAAATGCAATACCATCAAACCCAGAAACTAGAGGCAACTCTATTACTAGTCAATCAGGATTTGCAAGAGAGACAAGGAAACCCATCAGGACCTGGAGCTCCCCATTTATGAGAAGCTGGGAGATGCTGAGACGAAGCAACTGAAAGTCAAAATAGCTGGAAAAGGAATGGGAGGTCGGGGGAGTATCACAAGTCTTCTTTCAAGCCCTCAATTCTCACCTGCAACTTTAATAACATATTGGGAAACGTGGAGAAATGTGAGCCGGTACCATTTCGGCGACTGCACACACCTCCCCGTGAGCACACAGAGGTGCTCAGCCAGCTGCTGCTCACAACCCCTGCTCCCCACCGCCACTTTGCTTCTCTGCTGTCTACTCCCCAGCCCACCCACCACAGCACCTATTCCACAGGAGCCCAAAAAACCTCCGCCTGCTACTCCCGCCTCTCATTTCCTCAACCATCACCCTAGCTGCTAACGAATTCACCTGTACTCACTTAAGACATAGTCAAGGGGGAAGCAGTTCATGCTGTCACATAAAAAAATACAAGTTGTGCATTGCTATAAACATACTGAATGAAAAGAGCATGTTTTCCCCTGCCCCCCGAAAGAGCATCCTGGGTTTACACAATCCCTTTTTTGGTTTCCCCATTGTTCACTGAAGATGTGAAGTTTGATTCTTGTTCTCTACTGGATTTTCTCTCCCCTGGGTAGTGGTTCATTTCTTGCATTTCTAAAGATACTTTATTCCTTTTGGCAAATGCCTGGCTGATCTCATTAAATGTTTTATTTTTTGTTTCAGGCAGGACAAAAAACAGGTAGGTAGCTCCCGCAAAGCAGATGGCAGCAAACACTAGGAAGCAGTAGGTCTGTAAGCCACCCTGCGAATAGAAAACAAAGGAGAAGGTCATTATAAAAGGGACAAAAGTCAAAAGAAAAGCAACATCAGGAATAGTTTGAAAGAAAAAACAGGTGGTATGGAGCAATTTTTAACCAAGTACAGTAAGTGCTGGCATTCACTGCAAGTCAGAGTGCTTAGAAGTTCATAAAAATGCATGAATCGTTATGCATGTTCTTCCAACACTGCCTGTGGCCCATCGATGGAAAAGCAGGCTCCTGGCAGAGGCGCACAGATCTGCAATCTGGGCGATGCTGGGAGACACCAGACTGAGTTCAGGCACCGCGGGTGTGAGGAGAGCAGGTGGCAGCAGGGCTCCTGCTACGGGCACGGCTTAACCGAGCCTTGCGCTGCCGCGGTATTTCTGGAAATGAGGCAGATGTTTCACCGGGTTGTTCTGCATACTGCCTCGCAATTTCTAGGTACAAAAATTGAGGCAGGCTTTTGCAATGCCGTGCACCTGTACGCAACATATGGGAAACCTGCCATAGCCAGGGGCATCTGCATCACACTAGTTACAGGCTTTGAGATTTGCAAAATAAACAAGGAAAAAAACCCAAAGGACAGACATTTGTATTATTGCTAAGGTTATGGGAGCTTACAGCAGGAAAAAATCCATAAAATGCACTTCTTTCATGCTAGAGACTAGTATAAGAATTAACTGAAAACGAAATACAGGCCATATTGGAAAGTTTTGGATTTTACTTCACTGAAAAAAAAAGAGTATAGACACAAAGAAGTTAATTTATAAACTGATTATAAAGGCTCAAACCAACTAGTCAGAGTTGCACTTCACTAAAACATAAGTATTTCTTGCCTAGTGATTATTAGATCATTTAGTAGCTTTCAGTTATGTTTCAAAAGTTTTGAAAAACATTTGATAATTACAATATTGCCAGCTGCCCTTTGTTGAACTAGGAAGAGGTTTGGTATCGTGACTCCAGTGAAACCTGCCAGCCTTTGAGAAACCTCCCTTCCTTCTCTATTGGTTCACCTCACTCTGCGTCCCAAAAAAATATGTCCAATGAACACATATTTCTGACTTCCTTTTATTAACAAGGCTGAATTAAACCAGAAGGGGTATCTCCAGCTCCAAAAATAAGGCGACCTTTCCATGGTGCCTTGCGTGAGGTCATGACCAGCGAATACGAGGAGGGCCGGACCCCTCACACGTCACCCCAGGTGTTGCAAGGCAGAGGTTACCCTGGGGAAAACCACTCAGGGTGGAGGGAGCAGACGTGGCTTCCTATATGTACATATTTACCATTGCCATTAAAGGTATGTATCTGAAACAATTAAGACAGAGCTAGACAACAATGTAACCCTGACTTTCCACATTTTTCTAACAGATTCCCATCGTCGTTAGTTGTACCAGTCCTACACTGCAGGCTGGTGAAGCTCCCTGCTTTGGGGGTTCAGGGTGCACGCAATTCCTAGGGCTATCTTTATGTTTCACTTGCTCAGTATACGTCATACATGGCGCGGAAGAAGAACATGAATTCATGTGTGGAACAAGAAAGAAAAAAAGAAAAAAACCTTTTCTGCAGCTGCTTTTTAATACCGTGGCTGATTGCCAGCCTGCCTAGTCACGATGTTTTCTGTCGATAATTCATTACCTAGTTCAGCCCTTCAACTCCTGTCTGTAATAGAAACAGCTGGAAAGTGCATCCTCTGATATTGACTATGGACTCTTGAGATCATCAATCCTTTTTTTGTTAAATCCTAGAAGCACAAACTCCTGAGCAACCTGACAATGACAAGCCAAAGAGCACGGGTGAGGAGGGGGGAAAATATTCTGGTATGGGAACAGATATGACTTTCAAGCTTATACAGAGGCAGAAGCAAATGGATTTAGTAGACAGGAAAAAATAACATCCCAGTGCCTCATAAATCATCCTGCCATGTCAAGAATTCAAATTTTGCATCTGCATCTTCTGCATTTGAAATCGTCGTTCAGCCGAACGGTAGAGCTCCAATCTGGAATCGTGTTTTTCCCTTTTTAAAATCTTAATTGAACTAAATCTTCTCCATAATGAAAACGAACCATTAATGCCTAGTATGAATAAGGCTGGCAATCAGATGCCACAAGTTACCTGCATCTATTGGTGGTGCAGCCACAACTTTGTCCCACCTTTCTTATTCCTGTTCATTTCTTTGCTGACAATGATCTAAATTAGGGTTTACATCTTCTTTGATACATGTCTCCTTAAACCTTTTCTAATTGAACTGAACACTCTCATGAGTTGCAATTATTTTACATAATGTATTTATATTTATTGGTAATACACTTGCTCTCCTTAATTTCTGCAGATCCCTCTAGAAGTATCCCCCAAGGTCCTCCAACAGAAATTCCACAGAGAATAAGCTAAAAATTAAATTTTGTTATAAATCCTACAAATGGGATTGTGGGAAGAGACCAAGACTTTGCACTCCTTGTGTTCACCAGGATTAGCATAGCAGAGCCCTAATTCCCGGACAGGAACACTGCAGGGCGATCACAAAATGCCCTTTTCTCACCAGCTAGTCTTCAGTCATAGTATTTCCTTAAAGCTGGTTGTTATTTTACACACACACAGAAAAGACAAACACTCATAGTCACAAGCCTTTTATAACTCATTCAGAGTTCAACTCATATCACCCAAACCTGCATTTGGCACAGAAGAACTTCACGCCTGAATTACTCGTTACAAGCACAAAACCTTCTACCTGCTCTGCACCCTGACAAAGGATGTAGCACAGAAGTACAGACTAAAGCAGAAGGAAAATATTAAATCCTGGATCCTACCTCAGTAGAAACCCTTAGTGGGACACGGGTGGGATACAGCTCAGCCTAGATGTTTAATTCATTTTTATCTGTTTCTGATGTATTCTGAATTGCTTAGTGCTGGAGGAGAGATCTGAGGGGTGGAACAATTAATATATTGGCCGCAGCATATCTGATGTGCCCATCAAGGGATCCAGAAGGTAGGATAATGTGCTGGGAAAAGGATAAATGCGGAGTTATTGAATGATGGCTACTACAGAAAAGGTACTGATAGACAGATCTGACAGGAAAATGGATCTGTGTCTTTGTTCCATGAAATTACTATACTTTCGCTTATTTATATTATA